CTGCTGCTGCTGCTGCTTGGTAGCTGCTGCTTCTGCTGCTGCTGCTGCTGCTGCTGCTGCTTGGTAGCTGCTGCTGCTGCTGCTTGGTAGCTGCTGCTGCTGCTGCTTGGTAGCTGCTGCTTCTGCTGCTGCTGCTGCTGCTGCTGCTGCTTGGTAGCTGCTGCTGCTGCTGCTTGGTAGCTGCTGCTGCTGCTGCTTGGTAGCTGCTGCTTCTGCTGCTGCTGCTGCTGCTGCTGCTGCTTGGTAGCTGCTGCTGCTGCTGCTTGGTAGCTGCTGCTGCTGCTGCTTGGTAGCTGCTGCTTCTGCTGCTGCTGCTGCTGCTGCTGCTGCTTGGTAGCTGCTGCTGCTGCTGCTTGGTAGCTGCTGCTGCTGCTGCTTGGTAGCTGCTGCTTCTGCTGCTGCTGCTGCTGCTGCTGCTGCTTGGTAGCTGCTGCTGCTGCTGCTTGGTAGCTGCTGCTGCTGCTGCTTGGTAGCTGCTGCTTCTGCTGCTGCTGCTGCTGCTGCTGCTGCTTGGTAGCTGCTGCTGCTGCTGCTTGGTAGCTGCTGCTGCTGCTGCTTGGTAGCTGCTGCTTCTGCTGCTGCTGCTGCTGCTGCTGCTGCTTGGTAGCTGCTGCTGCTGCTGCTTGGTAGCTGCTGCTGCTGCTGCTTGGTAGCTGCTGCTTCTGCTGCTGCTGCTGCTGCTGCTGCTGCTTGGTAGCTGCTGCTGCTGCTGCTTGGTAGCTGCTGCTGCTGCTGCTTGGTAGCTGCTGCTTCTGCTGCTGCTGCTGCTGCTGCTGCTGCTTGGTAGCTGCTGCTGCTGCTGCTTGGTAGCTGCTGCTGCTGCTGCTTGGTAGCTGCTGCTTCTGCTGCTGCTGCTGCTGCTGCTGCTGCTTGGTAGCTGCTGCTGCTGCTGCTTGGTAGCTGCTGCTGCTGCTGCTTGGTAGCTGCTGCTTCTGCTGCTGCTGCTGCTGCTGCTGCTGCTTGGTAGCTGCTGCTGCTGCTGCTTGGTAGCTGCTGCTGCTGCTGCTTGGTAGCTGCTGCTTCTGCTGCTGCTGCTGCTGCTGCTGCTGCTTGGTAGCTGCTGCTGCTGCTGCTTGGTAGCTGCTGCTGCTGCTGCTTGGTAGCTGCTGCTTCTGCTGCTGCTGCTGCTGCTGCTGCTGCTTGGTAGCTGCTGCTGCTGCTGCTTGGTAGCTGCTGCTGCTGCTGCTTGGTAGCTGCTGCTTCTGCTGCTGCTGCTGCTGCTGCTGCTGCTTGGTAGCTGCTGCTGCTGCTGCTTGGTAGCTGCTGCTGCTGCTGCTTGGTAGCTGCTGCTTCTGCTGCTGCTGCTGCTGCTGCTGCTGCTTGGTAGCTGCTGCTGCTGCTGCTTGGTAGCTGCTGCTGCTGCTGCTTGGTAGCTGCTGCTTCTGCTGCTGCTGCTGCTGCTGCTGCTTGGTGGCTGCTGCTGATGATGCTGCTGCTGCCGTTGCTGGGGTGGTTGTGTGTTGCCATGTGTTGGCTGTGTTGGGGTCGTATTGGGGGGGCGCTGTTGGCACTCTCCTTTTCCCTTGGCCATGGCATGTTGTGATTCCCGGCCAGGCTTTCCTGCCAAAGAGCCCCAGCGTTGTTTCTTTGCCTAGCTTTCGCCACCCCGCTCTGGGCCACAAGTGCAAAATGACTCCTGTGCTGCGTGTTTGGCTGTTTATAGCCGCAACAGTTATGTCTGCTGAGATGACGCACGACTCCCCAAGGAGTACTGTCTGGCAAAGGCAATGTGTCTGCGCGTCTGTCTGTCAATCAAAACAACATGCGCAAGCGTAATTGCCAAACACACCAGTGTGGTGGACGACATTGATCCTCACATTGAGTTTCTCCCAGAAGGCTACTGCTCCCCGCAACCAGGTCCTGGAAGTGGTGGAGTCAACGAGAGGTGCCTGGAGCAAGCTTGTGGAGGAGCTGAGTGATGTACTTCTCCGTCTGGGTGGCCCATCGAGCTAAATCCGAGCCAAGGCCATCGATAAGGTCGTTCATGATGTAGAACGGTCCGTCCTCCTCAGCGAAACTAGTCCATTGATGTGGCAGCTGAAAGGTTCGGCCTATTGGCGGGAAACGCTGAAGTTGTTGTACCTTCAAAGGAGGCTGAACACAATCAAGGTGAACTTCCAAGGCACAATGTGGCCTCCAAGGCACTTCTCATAAGGCAGTAACCCGAATAGACGCAGATAAGGAGTTGGAGACCAAGAGGTAGTCGAGATGGCTGCCCTGCAAGGTTGTGTTACCTCCAGTGTCAAGGATCGTGGCCCTGAACTTGCCCTGAATCACAGTGGCAGCTAGTGCGGCTGGTTCATTTTGCCAATCACCCCCAATGATAAAGGGAGCGTGGAGGTGATGAAGGTAGGCCAGGAGCTGACTCAAGATGGTGGAGTTGGCAGCTGATTGGAGTCTCCCCAGTGCGGAGGTAGATCTGGATCAGGAACAGCTGCAGACCTTGTCGTTGGAGACCCAACTAGGTCCAGCCATTGCCCTCAAGGACAAAGTGTTGTGCTTGATGAGTGAGCTGCCCAGTGGCGTGCGCCAGAATCCCGTAGGCTTTCCAACCTCAAGTGGAGTAGTACTGCACCGCCTTGGTGGTTTCCTTGTCTCCCAGGTGAGTCTCTTGAAAGAAGAGCAAGGAGTCCGGCCTGGTCCATGTCCAATCTTGAACCTTATGTCACTTATGTCCAAAAGTGGTGACATTCCCGAAGATCAAGGTGAGAGTCTCATGAGAGGATTCTTGGCGTTTGGATGCCGGCGTGGCATATTCCGCCTGGGTGTCCTCCACAAGTTCATCCTCTGGTTCCTTCACCAACCAAATCTGCAAGATCTCACACTTCTGTTGGGTTGTGAGATGGCCCAAAGGAGTGGGGTAAGTTTCATCATCAGCCAACCACATGGCATTGTCCATGAGAAGCACCGTCTGGTAATGGCCATTTTGGTGTCCCTCACCTTGATGGAGGACGAGGCTCACTATCACTATCCTGTAAGATGCATTGTGGACATGAGTCCCATCATCCGAGAAAGGGATGTTGATGTCCGTGAGGAGATCCAGCGCTCGGTTATGTTTCGTCCATGTGCCCTCTTTGAGTTGAAAGCGTTGTAGTTGAAGCACTAACGCATCTGGGGATCCGTACAGGAACTGCCCCCCATCCTCATCTGCCCAAACATTGATGAGTTCTTCCAAGGTGGCTGGCGAGTCCCCTTCAGGGAGGATGATGTTGAGCGGCAATTGCTCCCGGACTTCAAGTTGGCCTGAAAGTGTCCAGTGAAAGAACTTGCTACCAAAGAAGGTGGTGTTGGCACACTCCCAAAGGTACCGAGGAAATCAGAGGCATCAGCTTGACTGCCCTGCTCAAAGTGAGCCAGACAATTTCCATGTTCATCAACATAGGCAGCCACTGAGGATCCCAGCTGGAAAGAAATTGCCTGGTGGCTCCGTGTGTTCGGCCCCAAGCCAAAGAAGCATCTTCCGCAAAGGCTCCAGCCCAGCACCAGCAGCGGAAGGGCGCGTTCCCGAAGCACAGATTGTAGCCATCCGGGTTCCGAAGAACAGAAGTCAAAACTTGGGAGATTATGAAAACATTGGCCATAGGCCACTTGGTGTCTCCCGGCAAGCTAAGATGCTGGTGCAGGAGATTCTGCATTCTCCGTAGATCAGCTAAAACCTGTTGACCATGGTGTGGATTGGTCGTGGAGCGGTATCTCTGACAGGATTGAACAAGATCCCGCTGGCAAAGATCGAAAAGAAAGCCCTGAGCTTCAGTCAGGGCTCCATCCCCTGGCATCGTGTGAGTCTCTTCAGCCTGAGTTAGCAGGACCTACGGTCTGCTCTGAGGTAGAAGAGCCCAGTGCCCCACCAGAGGTGTCCTGGCTGACAGCTTGAGTGCCAGTGACGCTGCCTCCGTAGATCTTCAAGAGAGGCTTGCGTCTGCGAGGTCCATAGCTCTCCCAACCCCGCGGAGAGCTCGCGCTTGAGCCTGAAAAGGACGAAGGCAAAAGGTGAGGATTGTGATCAGCCCCACAATCAAACATCAAAGATGTACCCAAAGCATGCAAAGAAGTGCATGACAGAGTCCCCGGTGCAAAAGTCGTCTCAAGCTCAGAAGGTGTGGGGTTACCCGCATGACATGTCCTCCGCCGCATCAGTCTTACGACGTTTGGACGGGTTGCAGCAGGCGGCCTTTTGAGCACGTTTTGCAACTGTCGGTGTTGCTCCTCTGTGAGGTTGTCACCTAAAGTATTGATGAAGCCAGCTACAGCATCTGGAGCCGGGTCACCTCCTTCCTTTTCAGGGAGGGCTCCCAGGTCAGGCTTCGGAACCAGACCTCAAGGATGTTTTGGTTAAGAACATGGCTCAGCTGCCTCCCATGGTTCGAGAGCTGGTGGAGAAGCTAACAAAACCTGCTCCTCCCACTGAGAAAGATGTTGCTTCCAAGTTGAAGAGCCAGGTCACACTCCTCAAGGACCTCTCTCACAAGAAGTCCTCCCTTCAGAACAAGATCGATTCCACCAAGAAGGCTTACCAGGACCTCCTTGACGAGATGAAGGGCATCCAAACCAGGATCGAGACGGAGCAACAGACCCTCACGGCCACAAGTGCTTCTTACATGCCCGAGGTCTTTGAGCTTACCTTGCAAGGCAGGTTCTAAGGAAGACCAGGCCGGGGCAAGGATCTCAGCTGTGGCCTTCTGGATCTTGGAGACCTTGGGCATTCCCGAAGGCAACCCAGGAGGTGGCGTCAGCGGCAGCTGTTGCTTCCTGGCCTGTCCTCGGTCTGGCCGGAGTGGAGGTCAAACAAGAAGTTCCAGTGCCGAAGACGAGGTCCCATCAACCAGCTTGAGCCGAAACCTTGAGCCATACATACATACATACATACATACATACACTACAATTGTGCTGCCCGTGCCGGCTCCCAAATATTGTAGACACCGGAATGCCCTGACTTTGTGTTTGAAACAGCAGCGGCAGTGTATCCCAGCCTTCGGACAAGTCTGGTTAAATACTTCGAGGTGCTGAGCCGTCCTTGGATCTTTTGGCACCTTTATTAGACCAAGCAGAACTCCCAAGTGAGGTGCAACTGTCTCATTTCTCCGCGCTGCGCTTCTGTTTGGCCAAGCTGCCTGAGTGCAGGTTGGGGAACTACAGCCTGTTCTTGTAAGCATGCTCCCCCTCAAGCTTGCCAACGTCTTCGCCAACGCGCGCAGCCCAGATCGTACTTCTTATCAAGTGGCCTTGGCCACGATACGCGTAGAACTGATTCGGCCCGTGTAGTTTGACCTGCATACTACGGCGTTTGGATTGAATGAGGTCTCGTTCCAGCATTTCTGGGCAGAAGTGAAGACCTCGTGCAACGGCGGTTCAGCTGGGGCACGAATCTTTATGAGGAACCAAACCATTGCAGCTGGGTATTGTAAAGCATGTGGGAGCGCAGCGCGTGTGAAACAACACCACAGCCTGAAGCGTAAAAGTAAAAGTACCTTGCAGCACCATGCAACCGAGGCCACTTCGAAGTCACGGCTGCAGCGGGTCCTCAACATGCTGCAATATGCTCCAGAGCAATTGCCCACCCTGCCTCCAACACAGACATGGAAGCCTGGCCGCAAACCTGTCTCACGGTAATTAAAAGAAAACAGACATGGTGTGGAGGCATCATGGCATGGAGCTCAGACGTAAGTACCAATGCAGCAGGTTGGTCCAGCCGTGCCCAAGAGGAGGCTCCAAAGCTGCAGAGTGGGGAAGCGGGTGTTTCCGATGAGTTGCAGTGCCTAGTGCTTGACACAGGGAGCGCCCTGAGCGTGAAAATGCCAAGGTTCCTGTGCATTTCCGACTCCGACCAACTTGACCCCACAGCTTTTGGAGGCACAGGCAGCCTTGGCAAATGACTCCACAAAGTTGCAAACTGCCAAGCAGGCTGGGAGTCCACAAGGCTTAGCGCCGGAGTTGAAAGATGTAGCAAGGGATCCTACTAGTGGCCCAGCTTTCAGGTATCCACTTTGTTGTGGCTTTGCGCAGCAGACACACTGCACACAAGTCCCAGTGCTTGCCCGCAGGCGATGGACGAGTCCTTGTTGGCGCTGACGGGGAATGGCACTGAAATTGCCAACGATGTGTACACAACGGCCGTGCGAAGCAGAGACCATCTCCGCAATGCACAGGCTGCTGTGGATGGTGCCTCTCGAACAGTCGAAACTTTACAAGCACAGATTGACAGCGCGGCCTCAGCTGTTTGGGATTCAGATGCACCTCCAGTTGGTTCTGGGGACAGCAGGACCACCACAAGCACAAGCACAACCACCGCAATTTCACCCGCAGTCTCAGCCAAACCATCCATGTTGGCAACCGGCATAAGCGTGCATGACTGCAGCATGCAAGCTGCATCACCCGTGGAGGTGGACCTCGCAAAGACCGAACATGTTGATGCAGGTTCTGGTGAAAGTTCTGAAGCACTCCTGTTTTGGCGGCTGTCGGCGACACCCGGCTTGCCTCCAGCAGAAGCAGCAGCGGCGGAAAGTGCTGCTGTAGCGCCAGAGCTTCATGTAGCGAATTTGGGTGACAGACTTCGCATTACACCTGTGGACCAAAAACCCTTAATGGTCTTGCTGGTGCATGGCCTGGAGTTGCCCATTTCCTTCGTTGAAGTGAGTGTGCCTGGTCAACATGCCTTGGCCGGAAAGAGGTCTGCGGCTGAGATTCAGCTGGTTCACATGCCTTCCGATGCTTCCAAAGCTGTGGCTGTGGCTATGCAGATGGACACAAGTCAGGATGAAAATGCTTGGTTTCAACACCTGGGAGACTCCCTGCCACGAGCAGGAATGACAAAAGAAGTGCAAGGAGCGGATCCTATGATGATGCATCCGGCATTTGGACGTGGAGTTGCTGGCCATTTCTTCAGATACGATGGCAGACTCCTTCAAGACTCCTCCTGCGCTCGCATTAGGTGGGGCCTTTCCTACACAAACATAATGTTTTTTTGACTGATTCTGACAATTGGTTCTGACACTGAGCGCATAGCCTTTGAGGTGGCATGTCTTGGAGGAGCGGGGCCACCTCAGCAGCAGCCAGCTGCAAGCTTTGCGACAGGTGCTGCGGCCTCCTGGCTCTGCTTTTGAGACGGATCCCAGTGCTTTGTCTCCGACTCTTGGCTGCAGAACAATATTGGTTGCGTTCAGTTTTGGACCGTTTCCACTGGTGTCCTGTGTTCTCGCTGCAGCTTTTCTCTCGCCCCACTTTTCTCTCTCTCTCTCTCTCTTTTTCTTTGCCCCTGTTTTTCGAGTTTGTTTGTTGTTTTTTCAATCAATCCATTGCTTTTTTAGCAACGTTTTTTGAGTAGCGATCCGGAGATAGTCCCGGGAAAGTTGGATTCGCTATTAACGTTTCGGTATTCGTGAATTCAGATTTCGGTATTCGGCTTTCGGTATTCGTTATTCGGACCCCCGTCCCGTTTTTTTTTGCCCTATATCGGGATTCGGTTTTCGGCTTTCGGAATTCGGTTTCTGGCTTTCGGTCTTCTGTTTGCAGAACCCTGTCCCATTTTTTCTCTTTTGGAGATTCGGCTTTCGGAATTTGGTTTTCGGCTTTCGTTGGGTTTTAGGTTTTAGGTTAAGAGATGTTTTGGGTTTTAGGTTTTAGGTATTGGGTTTACGTTGAGGTTTTAGGTTTAAGTTTAGGTTTTGGGTTTAGGGTTAGGTTTTAGATTTTAGGTTTTAGGTTTAGGGTTAGGTTTTAGGTTTTAGTTTAGGTTTTAGGTTTTAGGTTCAGGTTTTAGGTTTGGAGATGTTTTGGGTTTTAGGTTTAGGTTTTAGGTTTTGGGTTTAGGTTTAGGTTTTAGGTTTCAGTTAGGTTTTAGGTGTTACGTTTTAGGTTTAGGTTTTAGGTTTTTAGGTTTTAGTTTAGGTTTTAGGTTTAGGCTTTAGGTTCAGGTTTTAGGTTTTTGCGAATAATTGAAACCCATTTCATCTATTTTGACTAGTGCAAATCCAGATCTCATAACCAGCTGAAAAGGCCCCACGTAGCACTACGAGCAGCTTCGGACAAGCTGTAGCACCACGAACAGTTTCGGGAAGCTGTCTACAATCCCACGCCAGACAACAAATAGTTTTGGTTGAGGTGTAACCCTCCCAAACGAAAAGATTCGTCGCACTTAGAGCTGGGGAGAAAAGAACAGTAATGAATATCCATACCCCAAGATTCCCCGCCACATAAGCTAGACGAACTACAGAGATCTATGGATAGTATCCGACACTGCCTAAATCGTATAATCTTGAAAAGCAGAAAAGTGGAGACCAATGCTTGACTAAAAGCATTCGAAGCCAAAAGGGATGAAGCCACAGGACAGGAGACCGACGTGCATACACTTGTATGCCTTGCATCCGCGTGCCTTGCTTGATTTGCTGATTGCCTCAATGAGCAATGCTAGACGACACTCCTCCCAAATTTTTGGTCAAACCACAAATTTTGAGAGAACAGGAGGACACTCCTGTTGGTGTTATATTGTTTGCTTGAAGGCTACTTCTTCAGAACAGAGCTGTCTTATGACTGTGAAGACAGCCGAAGGGCAAGCTCTGTAGCAGAGATATGCCCCACCAAGTTTTCCCCAAAACTTGGCGGCTGCATGTCGTTCAATGACGAGAGCAGGTGTGTGAAGAGCTGAGCTCTTTCGTAAGCCTATGTAAACCATTTGTAGACACCTAGGACATTTCCATATTGTAAGAACCTTGAAAAGGACAGCAGAAGGCCAGCAGGTCGACCAAACTAAAAGTCTAAATTTGACGACTTTTGAGGTAAGCGCGTCGCAAGTTTAGCGATTTTGAATTTCGTGGTCTGAGCAGTCTAGAGGTCGTTAGAAGGTGTCAATGAGCATGTGATCGTCCAAACGCAGTTGTGGCGCTTGTTCCGATCACGGTTTGCTGTGGTGAGAAGGGAATCAGTCATTCCAGCTGAAAACGTGTGCATAGAAATGCCCACATCCGAACCTATATGTCCATCAGAAGTTTTGTAGAACTTGATATGCTTGAGAGTGAATGGCCTACATCATTGGACGTATCGTGCCTTGAAGTTAAGACTTCTCTTCAAACCACCCACCGGGCTTGAGTATGGACAGAGGTCTAGCCGTCAGGAATATCCACAGTTCTAGCAGTTTTTTGCATATGATTGGCTGCAGTGCTTGCGCCCACTGCTTTTGGCCTTTTGGGTTGATAGGTGCAGTGCTTGTTCTTTGAACCCTACGAGGATAGCGCGTTCGTTTGAAGTGCTAGCATTGTTTTTGCCAAGACCCACAAACTCTGCAGGGGTAGAGGTGGTTGTTTGATTTTGCAGCAAGCAGCGATTGCATTCAGTTCGCTGAATACATTGGTCGCTTTGAGTTGCGCTTAGTGAGAGGGTGACCACTTGCGAGGTCGACAGGCTGAGGTTTCATGAGATGTAACAGTGTATAGTGAATGACGCCGACGACAATACTTTGGCTCAAGTCGTGGTGCGGAAAAAGAAAACCATTACAAAATAAAGAGCTGCATTTTTGACATTTTGTGTGAAGACTGCTTTTTGCAGATAAATTATTGTGATAGCTGTCTTGCAGCCCGCACCTTCCAGGTACTGTCTGTACCTGCGTATGGTAGCGGAGCTTTCGTTGCTCCAGTAGGTCCAGGGAGGTCAACAGGTTCACCTCGTCAAGCGTTCGAAGGTCAGGTGAGCGCAAGGTGTTGGAACATGTGGAGTCCACCGCCGATGCTCTCGATGCAGCCGTGCGTCGCAACACGCAGCAGCATCCCCAAGGTCAGCCTGTCGTGTATGGACCACAAAGCACCGAACGGCCTCAGAGTCAGCCGCAGGTGTTTGACATGAGTCAAGGTGACACAACGTCAGCGTCAGGCTTTGAGAGTCTGAACGGAGGTAGTGGAGGTCTGTCCGGCCTTATGCAGGGAGTCGGTTTAGAAGAATTGGATTCCCAGGTTCAAGGTGCGCAGTTGCAATCTGAACAGGTGGTGTCAGGTGTTGCTGGTGCAGTTGGTGCGCCTGATGCGTGTCCGAGCGGTGTGACCATGCACTCAGGTCCCGGAGGACCAGTTGGTGTTGGAGACCAGAGCATTGACGGGAACTCAGCGTCAGGACCTGCGTTCTTGGCGTCTCAGCAGTCAAGTCAGCCAGCAGTAGGGTCAGGTTGTTCTGTTGTAGGTATGATGCCCGGAGTTGGTGGTATTCCACCCCCACCACCTTTCCCAGCACCAGGTATGACAGGTTGTCTTGGCCCAGTGCCGGGTCTGGCAGGTTGTCATGGAGGTATGCCAGGTATGTATCCGCCACCAGGATTTGTTGGAGCAGGTCTGCAGAGCCCCACCCAAGTCTTGCCGAGTCCGTCTTCACATGTGCTAGAGAATATAGTAGTTCTAATGCAACAACAGATGCAACACATGCAGCATCAGAATGCCATGATTCTAGGTCTAGTACAGCAGATGCAACAGAGTCAAGCAGTGACACAGACTGCGGCGGCCGGTCCGATGGCGTGACGAGACCGAGCTCAGGTTCGGGAACAGGGCCGGGCACGTCAGGAGCGCCGGGTTAGCTCAGAGTGCTTTCAAGAATGTGGATAGCAAGCTCATCCCGAGTATGCCGACATGTAGTCCAGAGAAGTGGGGGACACGTCCTCAACAGATTTTAGGTTTTAGATCGTATCTAGAATCGTTGGTGAGTTGGTTGTCCACACTCGCGCCCGCATATGCGTCCGAAGTAGCGCAAGTCATGGCCGACAAACCGGTAGCCGATCATGGAACACAGCCAGTGATTGAACGGAGTCAGCGTCTCTACTACATTCTAAAGCAGGCCTTTGGAAGTTCCCCGAAAATCATGACAGTCTTTCGATTGTTTGAGTCTCAACATGGGTACGGAGATGATGAGCTCTAGGTTTCTGTAAAGACCAGCTTTGGTCGAGAAAGACCGTTGGAAAAGACACGATTCACGAATCGTGAGGCGGGGTGCCGATCATGAGCAATCTAGACATGGCCCCTGTGTTGAGTGACGTGTACTGTACAGATGACATGTTCGACCGACCTAGTGGCTCGAGAGATGTGTGAGAGTAAAATAGTGCGACCTTTCTTTCTGTCAAAAGTGAATTTCGACTGTGCCGGGCTGGTGCGGGGCGCTCTCCTCAACTGCGCTCTCGTTGTGGTGCCGTGCGAAGCCTGTGGGCAAACGCATAGAGCACACATATGAGAGCACGCGCGTGACAATAACGGCAGGGTTCCCATCTGTACCAAGACCAAGACATCATGTAGATGCTGTGGTTTGTACAGTGGCCGCCGTTTGCAAAATTTTTTGATTGCGCCTTAGTTGTCGCATTGTAATGGCGTTGTTGCTTGACAGTTGCAAGCTTGGGGCCTGCTGCAACAGGATAGGAGGCTGACCGCGCAAGACTTCGAGCGTACCATCGGGGTAAAGTTTGTCATTGTTTTGTGAGGCCCCTTTGTCAGCTGCTCAGTACAGTCCAAGAACCTGTTACTGTATAATGTCATAAATCAAACATTTGCAAAACAGGAAGTGAAAAAATCATTTGTGTGCACGCCACTCGGGCAAGTCGGAATAGTTTTCGGTTGTAGCGCGGCCATGCACTGCCAGGAGCTGCTATTTTCAACAACCAATAGTTCTTGATGCCGTCCAAAATACGAACTACAGATAAAAGTGCTTGCAGACTTGCGAATATGGATGTTTGTGATTGCAGCAACAATTTCACGTTTTTGAGGCGCAAGGAGGATCAACTTGCTTTGACAACTGTCAAGAGAACGGAAGATATTTCACGGCCCCAACAAACAGAACGTTGAAATCTTCAAACCCCACAGTCGCACGCAGTTCAAAGCTACTGCCAAACTAGAGCAAATAGAGGCTCTTCGATTGAAAAGGTTTACAGACGATTCTGCTGCGTCCTTGTCCTGGTGGACACTTTTTTCGACTGGCGATGTGAGGTGGCTTGAGTCCCGAGAGCCGCCCAACCAAAAATGCTCTTCTGTCAGTTTTGGAGAGGAAATCTGACTTGCAGTTTTTGACCAATGCCTGAAGAGCGCTAAGGATGTTGCTGCGTGGCCAGAGCAGAGTGTCGCTCGCAACATTGCACTTTTGTTTGCAAACATGTGTCCAAGTGACAAAGCTTGAGTTTATGTTTCGAAGTTGGGTCGCTTGTGCAGGTCGCGCGCGTTGCGCCAACCAAGGCATACGGGCGCCCAAGCGGTTCTTGCTCAGGTGGCCTCAGATGCGGCTTCTGATTTTTGTCCTTAAGCATGTCTCAGAATCTTATTTTGGCTGCTGTGTGAAGGGCCGGAGGGATTCATCAAAAGCTTTGCGCCGAGGAGGCTTCATCGCCGAGCCCGGTTTTGCTATCGATGCCACGCTTGCGTTCCAACGGGGTGAAGCTGCCAATTTAGATTCCAATATGCGCAGGGGATTAGCAGAGTTGTAGAGACTGAGAGCTTGCCGCGCTTCCAGATGCTGATATAAAGGCCTTAGCGGTCCTGAGCCATCAAGTAGGAAGGACATGGACGGTCACATATTATTTGTATGCGTATATATACACATATACTCTAAGTGCAGCCAGATGGCGCAGACATGATGTCATTTTTGGGGGGTTTGCGCCATCTATTCGGCCAGCCCGGAAGTTGAACATAGGGCTATAACCCGGCTGTCGCTCGCTGCCCTGGATCCCAAATCTGGGCCAAAATACCATAGTAGATGGTGCAGGAGGGAAATTGAGGTTTATAAAAGGGCCTTTAGCCAGGCCTTAGCAGATGGCGCAAGAACATAGGCCTTGGCTTGGTTGCCTTTTCTGCTGCCCATGCCCATGCTGATCATCAGGCTGCGCCATCTACTCTGCACTTTCCTATACCTGCTCTCCCGCTCTCCCCTCTCCTCCTTTTCCTCCCCACCTCTGACCTCCCTTTCTCCCTTCCCTGCTCGAGGAAAGAACTACATGTGCTATCCTTCCACAAGTCCTTGCCTTTTCTGCTGCCCATGCCCTCACTGATCATCAGGCTGCGCCACTACTCTGCACTTGTCAGTCCTGCTCTCCCCTCTCCTGTTTTCCCTTCCCCCTGCCTCTGACCCCCACTTTGCGCAACCTACTGTACTCTGAGTGGCAGTCCCGCCCTGTCCCCTCTCAATCTTCTCTCTTTTCTCCCTTTCTCCCTTTTCTGCTTTCCACAAGCCCTTCTTTTTCTGCTGCCCATGTCTTGTTCCTTCCCTCCCCTTCTCTCCTCTTCCCTTCTCTTCTTCCTTGATTCTCTCCCCTCTTCTCTCTTCCTTCTCTCGTTTCTCTCTTTTTTCTTTCTCTTTTCTCTGCTGCTTGCAGTTCCCTGTCTTCTTTTCTCTCTCTCTCTCTCTCTCTGTATCTCTCCCTTCTCTTTGTTCCATATTGTGTCCTCACGCTAGTAGATGGCACCGTTTCTAGAATAAGAGCAAAAACAGCCAATTTCAACCTAATAGATGGCGCCCCCCTTTCTTTGGACCATACCCCTGCTCCAAGTCTCCTTTTGCTCTTGGAGGTGCATACTCTGTCTATCGGTCCTGATTTTTTGACGTTTTGTTGCGCCATCTGGCTTGCAGATAGTGTACATTATATACATAAACAAATGAATATATATCAGGCGCGCATTCATGCATCGTTTGGCAGGCTACGGTAGGGTACGCGCTGTTCTGGCCCAAAAAAGAGCCAAAGTGGCTGGGAGTTGTCGCGTAGCAGCCGACAGGCTTGGCTCGAGAATTTGTTGGATCGGACGATGCCAGGGCGTGCTGCCTGCTGCGGACCTACCACTGCGCCGAGATCCTGGCAGTCGACCCGGTGCACCGGCCACTGCGTGCGTGCCCTGCTGTGGAGAATGCGGCCCTTGAGAGTCACCTCATGGACCCATGGACCATTTCAACTGACCCTTCAAGATGCACAACGCAGTGGAACAAACAAGCGGAATCTTTGCTATCGGCTGTGAAGGCCTTGGGCTGTGGCTGTTCCAGCAACTTGGATTCAGCGATGACAGAACTCACCAAAGAAGTTGAGTGCTCGCTGAAAGGGCAGGAACACAATCAAGCTGCAGATCATGTGACGGCCTGTCTGAAAGTGTTCGAGAAGGCGTTGTTCCTGCAACAATTGCCGAGCTGCGAGGAGTTCGAAGCCTTCAACTGCAAGCAGTGTGATGGGACAGGATGGCAAGCGCTTTCGATCTTCCCTGGGCTCTGTCGAACCCATCCCTCACGGATGCTTTGGCTATTATTATGAATGCCATTGAGCTTCGAGTCAGTGCGGGAGGCGCTGACGCTGATTCTGATAGGTTTGAGATTCAAAGAACCAACATTAGGTACTGGCACGATCTCCTGGTGTCATTTGGAGGCACACTCATTTCCATTCCAACCACCTCCCGTCTCGGTCGTATGTGCCGTCGCCGATTCTTGCTGCCTCCGACATGATAACCAATGATTGGGGCTTCGTGATGCGCCAACCCAATGGGCCTGCTAGGCCATCTCCCTGTGACTTGTGGACAGCGAGCATGCGTTGCTCTGCGGAAAAGCAACTTGGCGTGGAGGAGACTCGGCGCATTCCAATTTGGGGAAGTACCAAAGCGCTATCTTGGAGGCAGGTCTTGGCACAACTGGAAGCGTGGAGATGATAGGGAGTGAGCAGTGTGCGAAGGCTGAAGTACCCAGGGGTTTGGCAAGTTTGGGTGTGCGTGATACGTCTGGTTCATAACGTGCGCGAGCCACGGGTATGCTGTTGAAAGGCAGTGTTGTAAGGCGTTTTCGTGAGTTGACAGTCAGCTCCCTGTCTACTCTGGGATTTTTGTTGTGCCAACGCCTTAGCCCAGTGGAGGCAGGGTTGCGCACAACTGGAGTGCAAAGCTTGACAAAATAGGTGAAGCGCGCAGGCTAAACATATTTGGGGGTTTCTTGTAGTGGTCGTGTGCACACATGGAATATTTACGCATGTTTCCTGTGTGCAAGCTTAATAGGGCTGTAGCAACGTGTGCGATTGTTGTGCCCCCGTGTGCTGTTGCAAAGGTGATAATCCATAAGTCCATGCCACCAGGCCAATTTAATATATTTATTTTTGTGTACTACGTGCCTGGAAGGCATGCAAGCGTTGCTCTTTTACCTTCCAAGAGGCGACGAACTAAATTGTGACATCACAGAGTGGGCGGTTTTGATTTTTCCGGCATGGGAAACGCAAGACTGAAGACAACAAAGCCGCGTGGACGTTTAGACATCCAATAAGTCGGTGGTCGTTGACAACTGCACTTGGCCGTTCGACAGTGATTAGCCTGTAGTCGTCGTAGTCACCCTTAAGCAGAGCGCAGGTCTGGCATTTTCGGGGGTGACAGCCATTTGCTCATGAGGCTTGGGTGTCGGAAATTGTATTTTGATGCATGAGTATCATGACATGTGCCAAGCCCTGTAGGACTGAAGGAGGAAACCAACCACGACTGTGCAAATCTCGGAACGGCTTGTGTAGAACTGTTGCCAAAGGGAATGTGTTATTAGGGCTAAAGACTAAAGTAATTGAAGGTCGGTTCGGGGTCGCGTGCCCAGCAGACTTGTGGGAACTCTTTGAGCAAGAGCAACATTTGCAATTTCAATAGGTTTGCGCACATTTTTTTTGCTTGCGCTTTGTAGGAACACTGTGTCACTGTCTTTGATTTCGTGGCTTTGGCTTTTGGTTGCGGGGAGTGGAGGCAATCATGGATATGTCAGTCGCGCACACAAACGACACACAAACGCAACCACAATCCAACAAATCAGCTACAAACCAGCCATCATTGTTTAATAAACCGCGGTCGATGGAACCAACAACAGTCTGGTGGCGGCATTTGAACTCAGGCAACTCAGCTTGTGATACGGAGATGCTGTAGGCAAGGTGCGGGATTGCACAGGAGCTGCGCGATATTGCGCGATGCCAAACCCACAAACCAAAAAAATCCAAAATTGATCAAAATTGCACGCTGTGCCACTGTAGCTTGGGCAGTTTTGCCAGCCATGGCTACTGGTGGAAGCGCTGCCACTGTGGACAGTGCAGACATAGTCAGGACGGGAATGATGTATGTCAATGTTAGACTTGGGAAAAACTACCTTGTGAGGCTGATTCTGCAGCTGCTTGCTTGCATTGATTGAGTCAGAGTCAGTAAGTCCATGCTCAGTAAGTCCATGCTCAGCTCAGTGCTCTGGACCATCCCCACGACACCTTCAGCACACGTGGGCCGGTGGAGTAATTGACCTAAGGTTCTGCAAAGAAAACAGCCTTTTTAGGACTGACATTGGCAGTTTTGTGTGAAATGGTCAAGGCCAATTCGCGTTACATTTGTTGCCGGCGCTTGTGCAAGGACCTTGCAATGCCTTCAGGAAGAGTCCAGAGTGTCTCTAAATGCGGTAGACTCCCTGGATGCCTTGCTCAGCGACATCAACAAAGGCAATTTTCTTCGACAGTCCTTTTTGGCAAGACTGACGCATGGTTACTGTAACCTGTTGTGCTCGGTTGCAACCACCACTTGCTACCATTTTGGCAAAGCTTTTGGGAAACATGCAGCAAGTGCATGTTCAGCCTCCTTGCAGTCCCTAGTTGCTGCAGGCCATTGGGACTCAGTGTTGTGCCTTGGCATCTAAGTTTGAGAGTTGACGAACTTCGTTATATACACGTGCTTACACATGCTGCTGAAGCTGAACTGAACGTAATTTGACATGCGAGGCAGGCAGTTTCCTATCTTAGCTTGCCCGCCAACATACTCCAAGATTTGTACAGCCAGGCCTGGCCAATTTGCAAAGGGAAACGCCCGACCAGTGAAGTAACATGGCAGCCATGGGGCATGCCAGCGCTGCCCAAAGACGATTCGGAATGAACGTAGGGGTATGAGTCAGAGTCAGTGTGAGTGAAACAAGGCAGATCAATGGAAGATCGTTCTTGAATCTATTGATGAGTATTTCAATGTTTTCTTTCTTGTTGTTCCACTTGACCAAGGTCGTGCTGGAGTTGGCTGAGTTGCGTGAGGTGGATACTGCACACCACCTGCTGCGGGAGACAGCGCCAATGAACTCTTTGAAGCAGGCAAATCCCGAGAGGCCAGATGTCCAGTGACAGTCTGATAGGCCACCTTTGCTAGACTATTCGCCTTATTGAAGTTCGGGCGTAGGTTATGCCGGAAGTTGAGTGACAAGCGGACAAGCAGTCATTGCAAGGTACCTTCGCATTGAAGCATCTTTGCTGGACACTTTTAGCTGATCACTGATATCTATGTTATTGCGGAGTTGAACATCTTGAGACAAGTCAAGGGTTTCGGCAACTAACTGGCACGGCCTGCCAAGGCGTTGATAAAGAAGAACCACTTTGACGCGAATGAAGCCTATGAAGGCTTAAGCAAAGAAAAGATTCGAGGACATTTGGCACAAAACGTCAGCACCTGTGCTGAATTGAGAGCTTGTTTGGGCACGCTGTTTGTTGGCTGTGCTCCATGAATCTGAGGCAAGCACGTGCAGGCCCTTCTGCTGGTGCGAGTTGCATGTGCTTGAGAAATGTCTGATTTGCCTGTATCTGAGGTGGCCGCACCTTCCAGGTTGTTGGCATTGGTGGGTCAGGCTATGAAGTGGCAGCAGCATGTGGGCCTTTTGCCCAAGAACGTTTCTTTGAGCAGAAGTTTGGATCAACATTTGCGTTTGTTAAAATGCTTGTCCCCAGATGGAGATCACATGGTGGATGACAGGTGCAACTTTCCGCACTTGCGGGATTGACGCCTCAAAGGAGCAAAGGACTTCGGGGACTTGTGTACCGCTCGCTTCGCCTTGAGGCTCGGATAGATGTTTTCAGAGGTGTGGCGAAAGACTCCGAAGTTGAGGCAGAACAATGCCCCACTATGATCGCAAGGAGGGTGTCTGGACCGCACCTGACTGAAGCATGACTGACCGAAGCTTGAAACTCTGACTAGGGCTGGAAATGGATTTGGAGGGGGCATCCCACATCCTCAAACACCAATTGCACGATGGAAGAATTGAAAGGGCCTACTTGTACCAGCACCCGCCCAAAGTCCAAGTAGAAGCAAGCCAGATCAGTCAGACAGAAGGTGGGCGCCCCAAAAAGGATCTATTGTAGGATGTGAACTGCACTGTGCGTGCATGTCACCTGATCAGGGTGTTGAGTCACGGGAGGTGGTGATAGTCACTGGTGAAAGCAAACAGTTCAGGCAAGCGGGAGAAGGGCCCATCAGTCCCAAAAGCCTCAACTTTGGTGCAACCAGTAAGGAGTTTTAGGGCGTCATGGGTTGTTGAAGCAAATGTCAACTTCTAATGCCTACATGTTGTGACTTCGACTTGGACATGTTGCTGCTTGACGTTGGTGGCATTCGCTGCCATTTTCGCCGTTCTCACTTAGGCATCCGGATGACCGCACTGCTTGCGAGAAAAGACATCTCGCATTTGCTTTGCTTGCTTTTGCTGAGGCCACACCTGGTTTTCCTGTTTTTGCTTGTTGGATTAGATCAGGTTGTTGAGGGTCTGGCCAACCCACAAACCCACATTGGTAGCGGAGCTAGAGGGCGGTTAGTTGCTAACTAGGCTGCCTGCTGCACCCAGCCCGATTAGCTGACGCCATGTCGGGCACTTCTGATGTCAGCGCTGCTGCTGATGCGAGCGCTCAAGCTGCGGCCGCCGCTGCAGCTGCAGTGCCTTTGCCAACGGAGGCGGATCCGTGGCAAGAGCCGGGGCAAGATCCATGGGGCGCTTTGGGGGCGCCGGACGCCGTGACACAGGCGACAACGGTGGCCGCTGGACAGGGTGAAGAAGAGATGGGCTCTCAACCACCCGTAAGAGCTAGTGGTGACCAAGGGGGAGGTTCCATGACACAAGCGGGCAATCCTGTAGTGTTGGGTCCTTCCTCTCCTGTGACCGGCACGGCGATGACTGGACCTCCGAGTACAACGCATCCCATGGGAACACCCCCTGGACTGGCAGCAACGGCGATGGGAGCATCAATGCTTGTGGCACCGCCTTCACCGATGGCACCGGGCATGATGCATGTGGGACCATGTCCATGTCATGGTGGATGGGCACCAGGACCTCCTGCAGGGTACTCCATGCCACATCCCTCAACGCCGATGATGCCCCCATTTGGTATGTGTTCGGGGACTCCTCATAGTGGCTATCCAGGGCATCCACATCCATGCATGGGAGTCTCTTCAATACCATGGTCCACCTTTCCATGGGCCTGGCCACCAGCGATGATGCCGCCTGGACCACAGGTCACAGGACAGACAGCGCCAGCACCTGTGCCTTCGGTTCCTCCTTCCACAGGGCAAGAGAGTTGGTCCAAGCCGACATCCGTTCAGGGGCCTACGAAGAAGAGCACAGCGGAAGAGCCAGAATCGCCAGGCACTCCAGAAGAAGATGATGCTACCTCCTCTTCAGCCCCTACCTCAGAGATTCGTTCTATGTTGAAGCAACGGTTGAGGCGCGAAGGAGATGGACAGAGGCCGAAGAGCTCGTTGGGATCAGTGAAGATCGAAGAGTACTGGGGAGATAGAGCCCGGTACATCAAGTGGAAGCGCACTATCCAGGCACAGCAATGTTTGTATGGCTTGGAGTCACAGGAGTTGGCCATGCTCGTCTACCTCAGCACTCGCAGGGAGGCTCGGGACGTGGTGGAACAACATCCAGTGACAGACTACACTGGTCCTGGAGGACTCCAACTTCTGTGGCGGGTGCTTGATGAGGCCTTCGGAGAGTCCGAATCGGAGCTGTTCGAGAGAGCGGACAAGGAGCTGGAGAAGTACCGGAGGATTCCGGGTGAGAGCATGGCGCACTACCTGGCGGAGATGCGTCGCCTCAAGGCGCAATACAGCAGGGTGGATCCAGACACCCGGCTGTCTGACCGAGCCTGGGCCCAGAAGCTCCTGCAGAAGGCATCATTGAGCCGGAAGGAAAGACATGACGTCTACTACAGTGCAGGAGCTGTCTTCGATCCCGTCGCCATCGAGAAGGCCTTGCGAGTTCGTTGTGGAAAGATTCACGAAGATGAGAAGAGATCCACCTACAAGCCCCATCCAAGAGAAAGGGAGAAGGAGGAGGACATCAAGGTCTTCAAGAAGAAGAAGATTTTCGTGAAGAAGAGAATGCATGGCTCGCATGTCGCCGATCATCCCACTGAAGAAGGTGAAGGTGATGAAGAGATGGAGGCGGAGCAGGAAGAAGAGCAAGGGCCAGATTCCATCCCTGAAGAAGGAGAAGAAGAGCTGGATGATGAGGAGAGCAACGTCACCAGTGATGGTGAGATGGAGGCTGGCGATCTGAAGGAAGCCTTCGCCGCCGGATGGAAGGCAAAACAGAAGGTTGCAGAGCTCAAGAAAAGTCGAGGATGGAAAGGCTCTGAAAAGAAGAATGATGGAAAGAGCATCGATGCTTGAAAGAAGGCGACTACATGCAGTAGCTGTGGGAAGCCTGGGCACTGGCGAGGTGATGCAGAGTGTGTCAACGTCATCAATGGGCGAGATCAACCTCACCACAAGAAAGCTGCCTCGACAGTGCACTTCACCTTCATGGTTGGAGCTGGAGGAGAGAAGCAATGCCCACAATGCTACTGGCCGGTGACCGAGACTGCCAAGTTCTGTGGAGAGTGTGGCTGTCCTTTGAAGCCCGATCAGAGGATGACAGCACACCCCAAGCGACCAGGTGAAGAAGAAGAATGGGATGTAGTGGAGGAAGAATCCAAATCCTTTGAGTTCACAGTCCGCAAGGAGAGTGTCACAGGAGCCAAAAGTAAGGCCAAAGCCAAGGCTGCAGCGCCCCAGCCAGGACATGTGACTCTTCGAGGAAAGGAGTTGATGGCAGCCATCCCAGGCATGAGCAAAGAAGAGAAGAAGAAGCTACATCATGCACTACAAGAGGAGGAGGATCAGGAGACGGAGAAACGACGTCAACTCTTCAAGAATCTGATGAAGGAGTACAGTCACTACGATGACTATGAGCCTGGACCTCGTGAACTGTTCCCAGAAGAGCCTGGACGTTATGAAGAGTGGAAGGCAAGAAGAAGTCACGCGGGCTATGGTGAAGGACAGAACTCAGCCGGAAGTCAGGACGCTCTGCCACCACAGCCGAGGCCAGATAAACCCAAGGCTGTCAAGGAGCGGGAGCTTGGAGAATTTCGTCGTCTCCTGTACGACCGGCAAGTCCAGCATGGCAGATGCATTCCCTCCACGGCTGCAGATTGGCCAACAGAACAGCAGAACCAGTTTCGCCATCTCTTTGAGAGCCTTCGGTGGTCAGCCAATGCAGAGGGACACTTTGCAAGATGCAAACTTTGTGACCTCAAGCACGTGATCTACTATTCCCAAGGCCTTGCATGGACCACCTCGCTCCCTCTTGACAGAGTTTTGGTATGAAGAGGAGATCAATCCCCAGCAAGAAGAGGCTATTGGAGTCCACTTCATCCAGGCTCAAAACCTGGTTGGGCAATCGCCGATTCAGGACGCCGGAACTCAGTTGGAGGACAAGTATGGCATCAGCACCTCCAAGAAGCTTTGATTTGCCGTGGATTGAGGTGGCGGAGAAGGAGACCTACAAGTTTGGAGCCGGAGCACCTATCGTGAGCACCGTGGCCTGTCTTTACCCGGTGATGATTCATGGACAGCCTGACATCATCCGTATGTTGATAGTGGGCAAAGGAGGCACCAATTGTCCTGGCTTGATCGGACCAGGGGAGCTGAGCCGCTGGAATGCCGTGTTCCACTTCAAGGACAAGCAAATGGAACTCAATGGAGTCAAGAACGAGATGCGCCTCACAGCTACCAGGCACCCCGGCATTGAGTTGCTTGACTTTGACGATCAGGCTGTGAAGAGACTGATGGCCTACTGGACATCGGAGGATGCAGAGAAGAAGAAAGGAGTGCTCGAGAACATGCCGCAGTCCTATGCCTTTGTGGCCGGGGAAGAAGGTTCGGACAGCCGGGAAGAAGAGGAAGGAAGTGAAGAAGAGAAGTCAGAGAGTGAAGAAGACCTGAGGGCCGTGAAGGTGCAAGAATGGATGCAGCAACTGAATGATTTGGGAGTGACGATGATCCCTTCCATCCCGGCCGTAGACAATGAAGACAAGGAGGAGGAGAGCAGTGCCACTGAGGAAAGCCAAGACTCTTCCACTTCCCATGAAAAGGGGGTTGACTTCGTCACAGAAGATGATGACTCAGAGGAGGAAGAAGGAGACAGAAGAGTGTATGTGACGGAGACGAAGCAAGCCCACAAGGGTCTGAGAAGCAAACTGGGGCATGTGACAAAGGAGATTGGGAAGGCTTTCCAGGAAGAGGGGGCACGAAAGAAGGTGAAGATGAGGCAGGAAGCTGCCCAAAGAAAGGAAGAGGAGCAGGAAGCCAAAGAACGAAGAGGCCTGAAGAAGAAAAGGCCCTGGACCGTGGTGGAGATCTTCACTTGGACATGTGCCATATCTATCATGGCGACCATTCATGGCTGGACCGCTTCAGAACCTGTGTCCTTACCTCACTGGGACATTTTGAAGGAGAAAGACCGGCATGAAGCCTTGGACTATCTGGATCGATTGGATCCTGATCTCATGATCATCGCATGGCCATGCACGGTGTGGAGCCCTCTTCAAGTCTTTGGCTACAAGACTCCACTCCAGAGAGAACGTCTAGAGGAAAGACGACAGGAGCAGAGAGAGTTGCTGGGCTTCGTTCGGGACGCCAGTCTGAGACAACGCCAAAGAGGCGGTTTGCTCTTGGGAGAGAATCCCAAACCCTCTCTGGCGTGGAAAGAACCCCTCATCCAGGAGGCTTTCAACGGCTTGGGCTCAGTGGAAACCGACATGTGTCAGTTTGGTCTTCGACTACCACCGAAGGGGCCCTTTTTGAGGAAGAGAACCCGCTTGGAAGGCGCTCCAGAACTGGTGCATCAGTTGAGTCGCAAATGCCAGAAGAAGCACGAACATACACCAGTCTTGGGAGGTATGCACTTCCAAGGAAAATGGATGAATGTGTCGGACTATGCCGGAGGGTATACCAAAGCCTTTGCACAAGCCGTCATCGAGATCGCTGAGAAGATTTTGACAGCCCAAGGACGTCAGCCAGAGATCCTAGTTGAAGGAGGTGGAGTGCCTGAAGAAGACCTCTATGAAGAGGATGAGGAAGAAGAATATGAACCACAAGAAAGCCAGCGAAGCAAGGAGGAGAAGCCGCAAAGTTGGAGAATCCAACAGCTCCACAACCGTCTGGGACATCCTACCAACCAGACGTTGGCCAAGATGCTTTCTTTGTCAGGGGCTACCAAAGAGACAGTCCAAAGAGCCCTCACCTATGAGTGTCCCACTTGCCAAGAGACACAGCCACCTGGAAGGTATTTAAAGGCTGCTCCTGGTGTGAGGACAACGATTTTTGGCAAAGAACTTCATTGCGACCTGAAATACCTCCATGACCACAAGAACACCTTGTTCGTGGCCCTCTCGATGGTCGACGGAGCAACCTCCTATCATCAGGCAGTGCTTTTGAGGAACCGCTCTGCTGAGCACGTGGCCAGAAAATGCATGAGACACTGGATCTCTCTCCACGGAGCACCACAAGTACTTGTTTTAGACCAAGGAGGAGAATTCGATGGCCAGTTTGTCGCATTTTTGGAACAGCGCGGCATCCATAGCAAAACATCTGGAGCTAAGTCAGCTTGGCAACACGGTTTTTCTGAAAGGCACGGTGCTCTTTTGGGAACTATGTTCACCTCCCTGGCATGGCAATATAAGATTGAAGGTCGAGCACAAGTCAAGGACATTCTCAGTGCCGCCATTCAGGCCAAGAATTCGACCATCACCAAGGGAGGATACACCCCATATCAGTTGGCCTTCGGAAGACATCCGGTGTTCCCAGATCTCCTGGATGAAGATACTGAAGGAAATCTATCACTCCGTGAAGCCCTGTCGATGGAAGGAGAAGTCCAAAGAGCTTCAGAGATGAGAGCAGCAGCTCGAGCTACCTTGCTGCGACATGACGTCCAGGCCAAACTACGAAGAGCTCTCCGTCGGTGGCCGAAAGGTGGAGAAAGGGACTTCGAACCAGGAGAACTGGTCTACTTCTATGCTCCGAAGCCTTTGAGCACAAGATTCAAGAAGGAACCAGGCTTCTGGAGGGGACCAGGCATGATCCTAGTGAAGGAGTCGCACCAGCGCTATTTTGTCAGCTGGCGAGGAAGATGCCTCTTGGTGTCCTCAGCCAATCTGAGGTCAGCATCAAGAACGGAGGAAGGTGACCACCACCGTTTGGAGGAGGTTGAAGAGTTCAAGAACACCTGGAGAGGTGATGACAAGCAATATGAAGACATCTCAGGTCTGCCAGCACCCGATGAAGTGAAAGATGAAGAGGCAGAAGCAAGAGGTTGGGAGGCATCATAGTTCCCAGCACCGGGAGGAGGCCAAAGACGAGAGCGAAAGAGATAGCCCGAACCTTGAGAGGTATGAAGACCATCAAGACCATCCAGAAGATGAAAGGCCAAAAGAAAGATCGGCTTGATCTGAGTGGGCATCAGAAAGAAAAGAAGACGGAGAAGAAGCAAGAAGTTGTCCCAATGACTCTGGAAGTCCCACCAAAGGTGGACCATGAGACACAAATGAAGAAGGTGAGAGAGGAGCTGATGAAGGTGATTGGCACGCCACAACAAGAAGGATACCAAGAAAGGTTGAAGCAACATCTCCTAGATGACGTGCCAAGACAGTTCAAGAAGAGAGCTGCAGAAGAAGAAGTGGGACAAATGACAGAGGAGCAGCTGACCAAACGTTTCCGTCCAGCTTTCTTCTCCTACACCATGGCTGCTACAGTTGAAGGCGAAAGAAGAAAAAGGGCCAATGAGTGGGCCTCAAAGGCTGAAGTAAAGAAGTTGAGCACATTGCTGGACCTCCCAGTGAAGAAGGCTCGTTTCCACTTCGGGGCCAGAAAGAGATTCCAGCCATACAAAGGTGAAGGAAGAAAGTCAAGACTCACGGTCATGCTGGGAGAAAAGGATGGCACCGCCCTTGTCGCCCAGGAGGCAGCAGAAGAGATGAAACAAAGACCAGGAAGAAAATCACCGTTCCTGTGGAAGGGCCTCACTCTTTTCCTGGAGGAGCAAGAAAGGACATCTCACACCCACAACGTCTATGTGGAGATGCCTGATGGAGTATATCAAGTACCAGTGACTCACCTCCAGGAATGGCAGGCCATGTCAAAGGAAGAAGTCAATCGCCAAGCCTTCTTTGAGGCCCTGGTCCTACAGATGAAGATGAATGGGAAAGAATTGGACCCACGGTTGTTTGATGCCGGAGAGAAAAAGGGCTTTGAAGAAAGTGATCGAAAAGAATGGGAGAGCTGGGTGAAGAACAAGGTGGTCAGGAGACTCACTCCAGAAGAAACCCGGCAAGTAGACAAGAAGAATGTCTTCAAGGCCCCTGCAAGAATTGTCCGGGTGAACAAGGGCACCATGCAGGGTTTGTTCCAACCCAAGTCCAGGATGGTGCTGCCAGGTCACCTTGATCCCCATCTGGGCCAGTTCAGGTCTGATGCTCCAACAGCCCTGTGGGTGGCCGTTCAAATGGCAAAGGCCATATGTGCGATGAAAGGATGGGCAGCCATGACCTTCGACGTCACAACGGCTTTCCTAAGTGGAAAGGAAGTTTCCCGAGAAGTCCTGGTGAAAGCTCCCCTTGATGGTCTACCAGCGCTTCCAGAGCACAATGAACCTGCGGTTCGACCAGGTGAACTACTGCGCGTAGTCAAAAGCGCACATGGCTTGTCAGAGGCTCCACGATTGTGGTACCTTCGAGCTCGGGAGCTATTGGTGGAAGCAGGCTTTGAAGAACTCACCATGGCTAAGGCGAGCTTCATCAAGCGATCTCCCAAGAAGGAAGTCATCGCCATCCTTTGCCTCCACGTGGACGATGGCTTGCTCGTCACCGACCGAGCCTACACGAAGCAAATTAAGAAGTCCATAGATGATCGCTTCGCCATCAAAGAATGGAAGAATCTTGAGGAGACTGCTGAGACCTTCCTCGGAGTCAAGACGACCTACACGAATGGGAGCTTCACTGATGACATGACCGAGTACATTGGTCTGCTGGAGAATGCTCCCGAAGAGACTCCTTCGGATGTGACTCTGGAAGGAAAGCAATTGTCTGCATATCGAAGGATCATCATGCAGTTGAGGTGGCCAGCACATCATGTACTACCAGAATTTCTTTACAGAGTCTCTGAGATGGCTCAACGAGTTGGACAGGCCACGGGAGGGGATTTGAAGCGTGCCAACAAGATTCTCAACCAAATGAAGGAGGTGGCAATTCAAGGAAAAGCCCGAACAGTGATTCCACCTTTGCATGGCCAACCCCTCCTGGTTAGCTTCTTCGATGCTTCACTAGGCAGCTCCAAGAATGGCCAGGCACAACAAGGTGAACTGCACTTGCTCACCACAACGATGCCTACCACAAGATCACTCCAGTATGCATCCTGTAATACCATTCCAAGCGCATCAAGCGAGTGGTCAGAAGCAGCCTAGCAGCTGAAGGTTGCGCAATGAGCAGTTCTGGAGACAGGCAACTCTTCAACAGGGTGCTCATGGATGCCTTCCTCTTTGGCCGCATCAACATTGGGGCCAATTGGAGGAGGGAGATTCAGACACCTGGATGTCTGATCACAGACGCAAAAGGTCTCCACGACCATCTGCACAAGACTGGAGGAATCGCGACAGAACGACAGGCAGCCCTCGACATGATGCTGATGAAACAGCTGATAGAAGATGAAGTGGTGGGGCTGCGCTGGACGCCAACATGGCGTCAGTTGGCGGATCCTTTGACTAAGGACATGCCAGCTGTCCTCCTGGAGGCCTTGAAGGCCACAGGCACCATTTGCCTGATCCAGACAGCTGACGATGAAAAGGAAGAAGAGAGACGCTCCGGAATCCGAAGAGCACAACGAGAGAGACGCAAAGAGAGAATGCAAGCTCAAAAGGTCCAACGTCAACATCCTTTCCCTTCGATGTGACTTCGACTTGGACATGTTGCTGCTTGACGTTGGTGGCATTCGCTGCCATTTTCGCCGTTCTCACTTAGGCATCCGGATGACCGCACTGCTTGCGAGAAAAGACATCTCGCATTTGCTTTGCTTGCTTTTGCTGAGGCCACACCTGGTTTTCCTGTTTTTGCTTGTTGGATTAGATCAGGTTGTTGAGGGTCTGGCCAACCCACAAACCCACACATGTTGCATGCAAATCTCATGGGATCACGAAAGCTAGTCTAGCTGCTCTCTGTGCTTCACCGCATAACCACAGTGTAGGGCACAGGTTTTCACTCACAGGATTGCTGCTTAAAGGGGAGAGGGCACCCCTCTCGTTTAAAAGGATGCTGACAGCAACAACAGTGACATAATGTTTCGTCAAACGGGCTACATTGAATGCAAAACCGGCCCCATGTGACAACGTACAACCCTGCCCTTTCTTGCTCCTTAGCCTCAAATTGTAGCCGCAAAATGGGGTCAACAGGGAGTGGCCCATGTCAATGTTCTAACACGTGCTGAGTGTTGCTGAGTGCTTTTTACTGTTTGGCACTGATTCTCTTGCTTCAGGTGAAATTTGGTGAAAAGTCACACCCGGAATGTGTGACTTTCTCACCTGATGGCCAGTTTTGCGTTTCTGGCTCCGTGGATGGATTCGTGGAGGTTTGGGACCATCAGACTGGCACTCTCCGAAAGGATTTGCAGTACCAAGATGAAGGCGCCCAAGTTCCCATAGACAAGATTTTGAATGCATATGTACATAAATAAATACATATTTATATACATTCACACTTGCATTTAGCTTGCGGTTGCAAGTTTTATGTTCACAAAAGTCACCAAAATGTCCGGTGGGACATTTTGGCTCAAGCGAGAAGCAGTGACGATTCACTGCAGAGGATTTGAAAACTGCGATGCATCGTGCGACTTCTTTTTGATTCGACGCAATGGCTTCACCGATGGATGCCGACTTCGCAGTGGTAGATGTCCAAGGGGACGTTGAGGAGGTCGACTTGGCCTCTGCCCAACTCCGGGCGGATGAGGACACAGCTGCCGCTGTCTTGGCGGCCTTTGAAGAACATGTGGCGATCGAGGGCTTGGACATGGAGGCCCAGCTGGAGGTGGCCTTTGGTGCAGAGCCGCCACCGGTGCCTGCTCCACCTACTGGTGCCGCTGGCCCAGCGGGTGGAGCGGTGCAGCCGGATGAGCGGGCGCCTGCTGGTGCACCGAGGGGTGCGCTGCCAACGGAGGTGCCTCCGCCTGACTCGGGGGCTGACTCGCTGATGGCTTTGGCGGCGGCCTCAGGAGTAATGGGCGGTGTCCACAGCACCACGGAGTCCAGAGCGGCCCTCATTCACTGAGATGAACCTCGATGACGTGGAGTCCTACCGGGCGGGCTTGGGCCTGTCCCCCCGCACAGGTGGGGTATGTGGCTGCTGATCCTGCCATAGCGGGATGCGCTGGACCCCTCTTCGACCTCGGTGCCTACTATTGCACCTCCGACCACGGCCCAGCGGCCTGACCCACCACGGCCAGTCAACCGACCGACCCCTACTCCTTTGGCGGAGCCGGCGCCCGCGTTGCCTGGCTTCTAACCGGCTCATTAGCGACATCACCTTCCAGGACATGTGTGCGGCCTGCTTCACCCTTTGCCTGCGGCAGCCACGTCCTGCTGGACCTGCAAGCACGCTGTGGCTGGTCCGGAACCCCTGCCGGGTTCACATCAGACAGGAGATTGTGTCATCGGAGTATGAGCTGGACGCCGCGGAGGCAGTCCTTCCAGGTATTCCATCCACAAGCGGCCCATGCACTGAAGCTCCAATCGTTGGCCACACAAGGCGTGGATGTGGCCCCACGGTTTGCCAAGCGTACGGCGGAGTGCCAGCAGAAATGCGCGCAGTGCCCGGCAGCGAGGTCCAAAACGCAGGCAGCCAACTCCTGCGCAAGGTCAACTTTCTCGACTTCAAGCAAGCCATGTGATCCCGCTGGCTGGAGGGCCAGGAGAAAGGCACCACTTTGGACGCCGGAGGGGCCAATGCAAAGATCCAGCAAAACACAGCGGAACGTACAATGGCACCCACACTGCTCTACTGTGTTCATGCCCTCCACCATTATGGTGGGGATGCCGCGATCTCCTGCAATGGAGCGGCCTTCATATTGGCGGCTGGTGCCTCGGTGCACTGGTTGACTGGTTTCACTACCCTGTAGACGGCTACCTACCCTTGGGCTTTCAAGCGGAAAGTGTATTGCGGCCCTCGAGCTCTTTGGCGGGGAACACTCCAGGATGCCTGAGACTGCCTGTTGGTAGTGACAACTCTGGCAATGTTTTCAGCCTCTTGACGTCGAAGAAGCCCCACTCATCGGCCGTCCTCATGGAACTGGCTGCTGCTGCATCGTGACGTGAGGGTTGCAGTTTAGCCCTATAGCCACATCGCGCGGGAATACAACATGTGGGCGGATGAGTTGACTTTCAAGGTTTTTCCTCCACTCTCCAATGGGAGATGCCGGACATTTTCAGTTTTCCGTTGCACACCGTTTGTTAGCGGCTGACGCCTTCACTGACTGACCCCACCCAAGATCCCGTGACCGGATCCGGTGGGTCCTCTTGACCCCGTTCGCCTGTTTGGCCACCCCACCAGGAGCCACGCAACCTGGGGTGAGGGTATCTGCCTGCCACACTCCTGTCAAGTTTCTTTTGGGATTTTGACATCAAACCTGGACGGGGGTCAGAGGACCCAAGCATCAAAGCAAGCTCCAAAGAGAAAAGGTTCTACAGATCCTTTGAGAGGCTTGGAAGGGATATTTTTGCTTTTGAGTACATGTGCGTGTGTCCATCCATACATGCACCTACCTACCTACCGACCGACCGACCGACCGACCGACCTACCTACCTACCTCCCTACCTACGGAACACTTTCTTCTTGTTCCTCATCTTCTTTCGTTGGCTCACCTTCAGGTCGAGCAGGAACGCCCTGGCAAATTCTTCTTCTTTACGTTGTGCTGGGGCTGTGAGGCTTCGTCGAAGATCATCCTTCAACCGCCGGTTTTCTTCCCACACAACTGTCTAGCCTTTTCTTTTTCTTTCCAAGATGGGCCGGTTGGTGAGGCAAGAGCAGGACCTTCTCCCCTGGAACTGCTGGGTCTTCAATCGTTGACTTTCCTCCCATAACTTTCGAAGCTGTGCTGAGTGAAGTTGGTCTTCTCTCTGTTTCCCCAGCATGCTTCCTTGCACTTGTTTTCCAGAAGCAAAAACCATAGAGTACCTTCTCCTCTAGTCTCTTGTGTGTCTGTTTCAAACGACTTTCATCTTCTTCACCCCTCACGGGTCCCCCGTTCTCTCACGTCTTCAAATTGCAAAGGATGACGGAGGACAGGAGCTGGTGTAGGTTGTGGTGTCTCAAACTGTGGATGCAACAAGGGCGCCTGTGCGTACATCTGGTCCAATCCATGTAGTTGTTCGTCGGAAAACAAGGATGTGTCTTGTGCAGGTGGCTCAGGAGGTGTCGAAATCGAATGAACGCCAAACAAATCACCAGGCCGTCGTCTGTTGTTTCCCAGCCTCCATTGGCATTTTCTTCAGCTTCTTTCGGCTGCTCTTCACTTCGATCTGTGGCAGGACCAAGGCTCCTTGGGGGTCCTGAAGGTCGAGTCGGCTCAGGTGTCCTGACAGGACCTGAGAGACTTGGAGCCTTTGTTCTGCTATCACCTGTAGACTGCAAGGCGGTCGACGATGGAGTCCCTTGCAGAGGCTGCTGGCTGGTCTTTTTCTTTTCGCCGCGCCTTTTCCTCCTACATCTTTTTGGACTTCACTACCGTCCCCCTTGACATCTTCTAAAGGGAGCTCTCCCCTTGGACTAGCTTCTTGACTCATTCTTTTGCGGGCAGCTTCCATTTCCAACTGTCCTTGGCGGAGTTCCTCTTGAGTGGCCTTTCGTCTACGATGCTGCAGCGTCGAAGACATGTCGGCCCTCTTCCAAGACTCAGCAGTGTCGAGCTGGCCTTGGGCTCAAAACCTGATGAACTGAACCTCAAGCCGTGCGCGCCTCCGCTAACGTCACTGATAGCGCTATAGCGCCGCCGGCCGTTTTCCGCGACCGAACGTGTCTTGAGCTTGCAAAAGCAGCTGTTGCAAAACTAACTTGGTACACTTCTCATTTCAAGGTGAAGTGCATTCAACAACCTTATTGCTCAACCTCGTCGAGCCGCAGTTGAGCTTGCTTTTGATCCTCAGTGATGAAGTACCATGCATCTATGCAATGGATGCTTCAGAAAAGAAAGTGGCCATCTGTTCAACGATCCTGAACTCGGAGCTGGTTCACCCGCTTTACAACATCTGCCGGACTAAGGGGGCCTACACCAGGCTTCACTCGAGAGGAGGTGTCGAGCATGATGTTGATGACAACGAGAAGGGCATATTGCAAAACGATGCAAAAAGAGGTTGATTGCTCCATGTCATCAGTCACGGCAAGAAGGACATCACCGACGGCTACCTCAGCGAAGCGAGTTTTTGTGTGACACCTGCCACACCAGCATCCACCTGGCAAAACTATGTGTACCAAGCGTGGAGTAGCTACGCCCCAAAAGGAGAATTTCCAGCAATTCCTACAGACTGGCAACCCACTGATGCTGATCCCAATCATGAGATTTGGTGCATCTGTAGGCTCTGCGGGCTGCAGCTTCATGCCGATGGTCAGAACTGGTTGATCGTGACGGCCAATGTCAAGAAGATATGCAAGGGTGCGGCCCTCAAAGGCAGTCCCAGTATCCAGACACTGTTACAGCAGCTTGCGGCGCCAGGGCCTTTGACTTCGCCGCCAGAATTTTTGAATGGCCGGGGAGCTGAGGAGCCTTTCAGTTTGGTGATGCGGCGCCTCCTGCAGAGATGGCAGAGGAGGATTACATGACTGTAGATGACTTCTGCCAGGGACCGATGAATCCACAACGGCCAAGGTGACGAAGGTAGAGGAAAGAACCACTATAGGAACAATTCCTACCTGCCTACCTGCCTGCCTACCTACCATACACGCATCCCCACCGACCTACCTACCTGCCTGCCTGCCTACCTACCTACCTGCCTGCCTGCCTGCCTACCTCCTACCTACTACCTACCTACCTACCTACCCACCCACCGACCGACCGACCGACCTACCTACCTACCTACCTACCTGCATACATGCTTGCATGCATACATTCGTGCATACATACACACTTTCAGGCGTTCAAACGTACATGTACACACGTCCGTATATATGAGAAACCTGATTTATTTACGGAAAGCTATTTAGTAGAGGACCCGACATTGGGATTGCAGAATTTGCATTTTACTTGGAAACGATAGTACGCTCATCAAAAACGATAACATATTGATAGCATCATGTTTATCTATATGAAAGCTGAGTTTGCGTAGCTGCAGTACAGCTTTTTAACAATGAAGACCATCAGGGAACCTTGTTTCTGCTTAGTATAGCCTTTCCCAAAGCCGTTTTTGACTTCGGACTTTGGCGACAGGTTTGTCCGAAATGTAGCTGTAGTCAAACGATAACCTAAACGATACCCAAACGATAACGTAAATGTAGATGAACCTGTGCTACGAAGCCACTGCCCCACTTGTATCTGAAACATCTTCCAAACAAGCTCAAGACATGGCTGGTCTACTACTACTACTACTACTTCTACTTCTACTACTACTACTACTATTACTACTACTACTACCACCACTACCGCTACCACTACCACTACCACTACCACTACCACTACGACTACTACTACCACTACTACTACCACCACTTACTACTACGACTACAACTACGACTACGAGTACTACTGCAGCATCAACAACAGCAACTACAACTACGACAACAACAACAACAACTACTTCTACTACTACTTCTACTACTACCGCATGGTCCCAACATCCTCGTCTTATGTTTCTGCACTGTGTTTTGGTTTGTGAGGACTACGACGACGACGACGACTACTACTACTAGTCCTGCTGCTGCTACTACTCCTCCTGCTACTGCTACTACTGCCCCCACCAAACGGCGAGAAGTCAGAAGTGTAGCGATGCCACCATTGAAGGCGATACCCATGACCTTACCACACAGCCGGAGTTTTGACCGTCTCACGTGTGCTTCCATGTCCAAAACGTTTGCCGCATTGTAAAGACAACCTTTAACATAAGTAAGGTTCAAAACGTGGAGAACGACAATACACTCACCAAATTGAAATATGCAAGGCCCACATAACAAATAAACACCGTCGCTCACATAGATAATTGTATATGTGCCCGATCCTTGGAACTGTCGTTGGCCTTGCGGGGAAAACTGCACTCCCTTCCGCCGTGCCAGGCAGCTTTATGATGCACGAGAAAGCAGTCATCGCGGTAGCTTTCAACAAAGATTCGGAACTTTTGGCAAGTGGCTCACAAGATGGCCAGGTGAAAGTCTGGCGTGTGGCCACTGGTCAGTGTGTGCGCCGCTACGAGAAAGCGCACAATGAAGGGGTCACTTGTGTCACTTGGTCGAAGGACTCTACACAGCTTCTTACAGGCCGGGGCTATGTAAGAACCACCAATTTCTGTCACTACAGACTACGGCTGCGATTATTTTTAGCGAGTTTCCTTGCAGGCTCATTTGATTTTACTGCGCGTGTGCATGGCATCAAGTCGGGCAAGACCCTGAAGGAGTTCAGAGGGCACAAATCATACGTAAACTCTGCAGCCTACAGCAAGGATGGTTCCAAAGTGATAACAGCATCATCAGCAGCTGAGCTGAGCATTGGAAAGGAGTAACATGTTGCTCCAACTTGAGTCTATAACTTCTTGTTGTGCATGCTAAGGACAGCCATGTGATAGTCTTTGATTCAAAGACCACTGAGATCTTAAACACTTTGACTCCACCACCACCAGCGCACTGCAGCTCTATAATGGACTATGCTGTCAATTCTGCAGCTTAGCCTGGCTGTATGTTAGCCTTTTTGCTTTTCCTTTTTGGCCGTTCCTATCCTTCAGGCGATTGTGGCGCCAAAGATAGCAGGATATTCAGAGCAAGAAGATCTTATCTTTGTGACTCGGTTCGTTTTTAGAATCGGCCCTAGTGTTATTGCAGAGGTAGTGCAGAATACTATCCTGCCAGAGTAACTCCCAAGCTCCAAGGTGTGCACAAGAACCAACACCATTCTGCTGCTTGGCATTGGTCACGGCTTTTCCAAGCTTTGTGCCAGATGCTTTTTGGGCTGAGTCAAGGTCGTGCCTCACAGGTGTTTCCAATTTACAATGTCAAGTCAATTCATGTCATTTGTTTATTCCTTGCGCGCAGGCAATTGCTGGCAGTTCTGATTCATTCATACTGTCAACAGCACTTGGTTTGCCTTGCCAAGGCTGATGAACCTTGCTGGCCAGGCCCGGATCGAATGTCCAGAGGAGTAGGTGTACCACAGTGCCATGATGACTTGGACTTTCATTTGTCATTGTCGTTTGATTGACAAATTGACAAGGTTCTCAAGAGCTTCTGTTCTGGAAAGCGAGACAAAGGTGATTTTGTGGCGATGACACTCGCTTCAAGAATCATTCGCGCAGAGTCCCCTATCTTTGCTCAGAGCTGAGGACAATCTCTCCAAAAGGAGAGTGGCTTCATGCCGTTGCTGAGGACAATACCTTGCCTCTTGGAAGCACTTGCAACAGCGCTCCGACCGAGCCGCCTTTCATTGTCACTAACACCCAGCCCTGAACGCTTGTTTTGCTTTCTCTGAGGTACTGCTTCTCAGTAGCTTCGGGCGGCCTAGAGCAGACCTTGAAGGTGGCAGAGAAGGAGGCTTCGACATTGTCAGATCATGGTTAACGCTTTTTGCAGGGCTTTTGCAACAGCATTCCTAAAGAGCATAGCTTTCAACGGTGGGTTCGATCAGAGCGACGCTGCGAGCAACATGTGAAGCGGACACACGGATTCTTGGTCCCCAATGCGAAGTCAGCCAAGCTTGTCAATGCAGGTGATTGGGCTGGCACATCATCCAAGCCGAAACGTCATTGCTGGCTTTGCTGGTGATGGAACAATGGTCTTTATGCGAGCCTAAGAAGTGAGACCGTGATCGAAACCGCGAGAAAAAGGGACGGGACATGATGATGACCTTGTCATGTGCAGCCTACAGATTTAATGTGGCCCTCAGATTTATAAAGACCCCTAGAATTACAGTATGTCTTTTTTTCCCTGCACTGATTTATAAAGGCCCCTAGAATAATGTATTTTTTTTTTGGGAGGGGTAGTTGTAGTGGAATATTTTTTATTGTTATAGTCTACTTTTTCCCTTTTGATTTGCTTTACTCACCCTCTATTCCTTATTAACTTTTCCTAAGCTCTTTAGTGTTGAAGCTTTCCAAAAGTTTCCAAAAGTCAGTGCGCACTTTCTTTATAAAATCCTTTATTCAAACGTATTGAAAAACAAAAAATCATTCAAGCAAAGGGGGTAGTCCAGCAAGCAGCTTTCTGACATTATTTAGGGGGGGCCCTAGAATAATGTCTAGAGATTTGAGGCTTTAAATCTTTATTCCTTTTCTTTGCCTTTTGATTTGCTTTACTCACCCTCTATTCCTTATTAAGTTTTCCTAAGCTCTTTAGTTTTGAAGCTTTCCAAAAGTTTCCAACAGTCAGTGCGCACTTTCTTTATAGAATCCCTTATTCAAAAGTATTGAAAAAATCATTCAAGCAAAGGGGGTAGTCCAGCAAGCAGCTTTCTGACATTATTTAGGGGGGCCCCTAGAATAATGTCTAGAGATTTGAGGCTTTAATTCTTATTCCTTTTCTTTGCCTTTTGATTTGCTTTACTCACCCTCTATTCCCTATTAACTTTTCCTAAGCTCTTTAGTTTTGAAGCTTTCCAAAAGTTTCCAACAGTCAGTGCGCACTTTCTTTATAGAATCCCTTATTCAAAAGTATTGAAAAACCAAAACAAGCATTCAAGCAAAGGGGGTAGTCCAGCAAGCAGCTGTCTGACATTATTTAGGGGGGGCCCCTAGAATAATGTCTAGAGATTTGAGGCTTTAAATCTTTATTCCTTTTCTTTGCCTTTTGATTTGCTTTACTTACCATTGAAATTGCAGGTCTTTGGATTGAGATTTCCATTGAAAGTTAAACAGTTAGTTCTATTTCCATTGATTCATTCCCTTTTATTGTAATTAATATTCCAGATGTCTTCAAAGTTAGGAATTCTTATTTCCTTTTAATTTAATATTGCCAGAGTAGCTCCAGAGGTAGCTAGCTAAGGATTCCTTATTTAATTATCAACTGATTGATTTTCTTATACATTATTTTGGAGGCCTTGGTTGTTGAGGGGGGGGGGGTTATAAATCAAGGGACTACATTACCAGGAGCTGTCATATGTCATGTAGAAAGCCGTTTCTTGGAAAGCCGTTTCTTGGACCAAGGTCCGCGCCGCACAGACTTGTGACTGCGAGAGTCCAAGAGACGACTCAGGAGTCTTTGCCTTCCTAATTCATTTCCAGATCCCGCAACATAAGTGTGGATTGAAGACGCGTGGCTGGGCATGGCAGCGACTCAGCTTTTGTAGCCGCACTGAGGTTACTAGTCAGGACCGCCCGGTGTCTGTGCACAGCCGCTGGGCAAAAGAGCAAGCAAGAACGAATCGGGAGACGCTGCGCGCAATCTAAGGTGAAGACCGTGAGGCCAAAGCCTTGCAGCAGCCTTCTTTTCAGAGACTAGCTGCGGACACATTCTGCTTTGTGAGAATTTGACTGGTGGGAGTATGACACTTGGTTAAGTTAATTTTTCAGCCCTGCGAGGAGGGGACTGCTGGGCTTGAGGGTCGGAGAGGAAGGAAACTGAGGAGCTACAGTGCCTACAGTGCGTGGCTTGGTGTGTTGTCTTGTTGACTAGAGGTCTTGGCTGCGAGCAACCTTGTTCAAGCATTCAATGGCCACATTTGGGGTTTGCAGAGTGTACAGTCATCGACAGAATTATAGAACGGAATGGAGGAGGAAAATTATCCTGGGATTTAACTGCGCAGGATTTTTCTATAATTACCGATTCTTGCATGTCATGTATATATTTGTTTCCCTCAAAATTACACCAGCATAGACCCAGATAGCTAGGCAGAATCCCACGACCTGTTGACATGCGACTGGCTGGAACAAGAATGTACGCAGCCTGCACAGCCAGCTTACGGCACCTCCCCAGCTCACAGCACCAGCTCCCAGGACCACAACACCAGCACCAGCACCGACACCCTTTCGAAAGCGCAGCCAGCTCATTCTTATTTGCAGTAAGAACCCCATCGCTATCCCCATTTGGGGAATAGCAACGCATGATCTTTCTCTCCCCATCGCCTTCTCGAAGAGTTGATATAAGTTTATGCGCACAAAAATGTGCGCGCAAGCAGCAAAGCCCGTAAGTGTCATTGGCCCAAGGCCAAGCAGTATCCAGCGCCACTATTGACTTTGTAGCACTCCTGAAGCAACGTTTTGCAGAACGATAAGGCCGTATGTTATAGCTATTTTCTCGCAGAACAAAGTTACAGTGAAATTGTGTGTGTTTTTTTTTTGGCTTATTCTGTTTTGACCCTCTTAAACAATGGTTTTTTAATGCTATTCTTGGCTTGTTTTCCTTCCACTTGACTTTCCTTGGCTACTACTACTACTACTACTACTGATTTGCACCTTCCGTTGAAACTGCATTCTGTCAAGGATGTTTCTCACACGTGGCACGGGTTGTCTTTGTTGGTGGGGCCTGCGTAGCATGTTGAAAACTAAAGTGCCTCCCCACCTGCGCCATGACCTTTTGCCCCAATTGCTCTTGCCTACCGCCCATTCAAAGCATCAGAGGCCATGAGCAAGTCCTCTTCTAAAGCTTAAGCTGCACTGCTTTCCTTTTGCGCAGCGCCGCCGTTCACGCACACCCGTTGTGTATGTGCCGAACGCATCTTCGCGCACAGGGGTGCAAGAGCCCAAGGCACAGTTGACGTCCGGTCCAGAAGGTATTGACTCTGCTGTGGGATGTTTCGCCAACACTTTCTTGCAACGAAGCTAGGTTTGCAACCTTGCTCGAGAGCTTTTGTGGAGTTCTACTTCAGGATCAGGTTCTATGTCACTAACGTGGCCAGAGTTTCTCAGTCAAGTGTTCTCAAGTCGCACACAGTCGCAAGCCAAGTGAGTCTAGATATGCACCTTTTGGAAGTGCGTGCGGCAGTTCCAGCTTGCCAAGCTCAAGATGTAGAATTGTCAGGATCAAAATGCATAAACTGTATGCAAGCTCCTTCTAAACATGCGCGTTGAAGTCAGGTAGGGAGCCAGTCAACGAAGCGACAACAAGCCTCAGCAAAGCCTCATGAAATGATGACATCAGCTGTTCCTTTGCACCCAGCGTATGTGCTGCATAGAAAGTATGAAAGCAAGTGGAAACACAACTAAAATGAGAAATGTGCTGACAATGCATCTTTCTCGACAAAAAATCAAGTACAGAGCGGCTTGACTTGGTAAATAACCCTTTCATCTCCAAGGTCTGTGAGGCATGTGGGTGACACAGCCAACAAATTAGACAAGTGAGTGCAGGAAAGCGCCACGAATTAAATGTTACTCGAGCAGCTGCTTTTTGACGCGCTTCTACGTTGTCATTCAACCTAAGCCAGCCGCTTCAGAATGCCCAGGACTGCACTGCTTGCCGCTTCCAGGGTTGAAATCCATCATGGATTCTTTCCTTCAATCTCCCAGCCTGCACGATTTCTGAAGCATGTCGCGTGTACCATGTCATCAAGGCGTAAGGATATTTCCAATTTATAATTTGTGCAAGTTCCGCGCTTCAATTGGCTGACATCCATGCCGCTACTCAGATGTCGAAATCCTAGTTGACATGTAGATGGGGTGCTGCAAATCGGTGCGCGACATAGGTGTTCTCTACTTTAGTGTGTTCAGCCGATCACTGTAAACAAGAGCTTCAAAACACTTTAAAATGATTTTGTTTCTCATGTCATCACAGTCTCCCGTGTTGGGAAAGCACGACGGTTTACTTCGCCTCAAGTCTGGCAAAATTTGGCCGGCGAAGGTTGGTTGCCAACGTGTTTCGAGGTTCTTCCAAAAACCTTGGCGAAAAAATGGGCGAAGTTTTTCGCGGCGGAAAACTCGGCGGAAAAAACGGTGAGGTTTCGTGAGCTAGTGAAAGCTACATGAGCTAGTTTCCAGGTGCGTTTGCTGAAGCAAGACCCCAGCGAAAGTTTCATGAGCCAGTTTGCAGGTGTGTTTGAGCAAGACCCCGACCACGCCCCAGCAACCCCTAGAAAAACCCGTGCTCTTTTCAAACACCATAGTAGTTTTGTTATCACGAAAGCTAGCGAAGCTAGCTGGAGTTACTCTTGCGATAGCAAGGTTTCTTTCGACCGGGTGCAAATCCTAACCCCTGATTTTTCAGGTCGAAGACCCCCCCC